AATAGCCAATCAGTCCTGAGAAAGATAAACAAAGATGAAGGCATCACACTTCAAAATAGTAAGGTAAGTCTGAGCTATGTAAGTGCAAATCTCAAAAAAAAAATTAGGGCTGGGAAGGTGGCTCCATGGTAGAGTGCTTGCCTTGCATGCCTGAGGTCCTGGGTTCGATTCCTCAGCACCACATAAGCAAAAAAGAAAAAGCCGGAAGTGGTGCTGTGGCTCAAGTGGTAGAGTGCTAGCCTTGAGCTGAAGAGCTGAGGGACAGTGCCCAGGCCCAGAGTTCAGGCCCCATGACCGGACCCCCCCAAAAAAATTAAAACAAAACAAAATCCTAGTAAGGACTGGAATACAGACAAATAACAGACAGATAGAACAGAGAAGCATGAAGTATGTATGTATGTATCTATAGTCTATTTAACTGATCTTTAATAAGATTGTTAAGAGCACAACAATGAGAAAGTACACTAGGTCTCTTCAACAAATGATGTTAAGAAAATTGAATATATATGTAAAAGAACGAAACTAGGGCTGAGAAGGTGGCTCAGTGGTAGAGTGCTTGCCTTGCATGCATGAGACCCTGGGTTCGATTCCTCAGCACCACATAAGCAGAAAAATCTGGAAGTGGCACTATGGCTCAAGTGGTAGAGAGCTAGCCTTGAACTGAAGAGCTGAGGGACAGAGCCTAGGACCAGAGTTCAGGCCCCACAACCAACCACAACAAAAAAAAGAACGAAATGAACCCTTATCTCACACAAAAACTAGCTCCAAATGGATGGATGGTTTAAATGTAAGATCTGAAACTGTACAACTCCTATAAAAAACATAGGAGTAAAGCCCCATGACACGGGTCTTGATAATAAACTCATGACTAGGACAGCAAAAGTACAGTTGAAGCAAATACAAAACAAAAACAGTCAAATGGGACTAGATCAAACTAAAAAGTGTCTGCTCAGCAAAGAAATCTATCAACACAGTGAAAAGGCTGCTTGCTTCTCTGGGGAACATATATGCCAGCCATGCAACTCATAACGACTTAGTTAATACGTAAAGTACAAAATCAGTTTCTATAAGAATAACAAAAAAATGACTTAAAAACAAGCTTGGTGCCAGTGGGTAGCTCACACCTGGAATCCTAGCTACTCAGAAGGCTGAGATCTGAGGACTGTGGTTCAAAGCCAGCCTGATCAGGAAAGCAGTGAGACCTATCTCTCGTTAACTACCAAAAAAAAAAAAAAAAATAAAGCCAAAAGCAAAGCAAGTGCTAGCCTTGAGCAAAAAAAAGTTCAGGGACAATGCCTGGCCCTGAGTTCAAGCCTCAGGACGACTGTAAAATAAAATTAACCAAAGACAACATATGAATGATCATAAGTAAATGAAAAAAAAATGCCCAAACAAACCTACTCATCAGGGAAATGAAAATCAAAAGCACAATGAGAGATTACCTTACATATATCAGATGGAACGTATCAGGATGTACACTGTTGAGGAGAATACAAAATATAGCCACTGTGGAAAACAATATGGAAGTCCTACAAGAAATTAAAAATACCAAGAGTATGGTGGCTCAGACCTGTAATACTAGCTACTAAGGAGGCTGATATTGGGAGGACTGTATGTCAAGGTTGGTCTGCACATATGTAAGACCCCATCTCAAAAACAGTCAAAGCACAAGGTGCTGGCTAGTGGCAGAGCATCTGCTTAGCAAGCTCAAGGCCCTGAATTCAAACCCCACCGCTGCCAAAAGAAAAACAAGCAACCAAACATAAATAAATAAGATATAGTAAGTCTACTTCTGGTAATCTAACTCTCCAAGTTGAAATGAAGATCTTGAAATGATATTAGCACCCCTGTGTTCCTTGCAGTAATCACAGCCAAGATGTAGAAACAAGCTAAATTCCCACTTACATATGAATTTAAAAAACACAAAATATACACCTAGCAGCTCTATAAAAGGAGGAATTCTGTAATATGTAGAACATGGATGAACCTTCAGGACATTATACAGTACAATGTCACAGAGAGATGATACATGAATTTACTACTATGCGCTATCTCAACTAGCCAGATTCTTAAAACAAAACCAGGGAATAGTGACTGCCAGGGCTAGGAGAGAACAGAGAGTTAGTAGTATGTGGGATCACCTAGGCTTCAGAGCAAGTTCAAGTGCAGCCTGGGTTATGTAGTGGGGCCTTCTCAAAAACAAAACAAACCAAAATAAAAACAAAGAACAAAAAAGAAAACCAACAAGTTTTCTATGACACTCTAGTGCCATAGGAGTGTCTTCCTATCTGGTTAGAAGGAAAGCTAGCTTCTCCCTTAGCCATTTGCTTGGCCACTGTTAATGCTCATTTATATTTCTTGAAACATGAATACATGTGGTACTTAATCACTACATGCAACACTTTGTGTGCACAGCCTACATTCTGAATCCTCAGTTGCTTGAACAAGAGAGGTTCAAAAACTTAAGGGAGCAGATGCAACTACCCAGCCATCCAGGCTGTTAGGCCTGGTTTGCCCCTTCCTCTGTCTGATTGGTGCTCTCACGGAGGTTCAATCCTGAGCCTTTGCCTGTTTCACACATATAAATCATAACCTCACTTGTAATATAATTGTTTTACCTCATAGTTTTATTAAAATCTTCTCTTCTAATGCCATTATTCTTTATCAAGGTGTAGTAATTTTTCTTTTAAACTATGCAGTATATACTCTATAGTACCATTTCACTTATATTTCGATAGTGGTTCTTACTCTTTTGGGGCTAGGGGTCCTTCAGGAGTATATATTCCTTACTTTTCTCTATATATACACTTTGTGAAGTAATCACGTCCTTTGGATTTTAGACCTTCCTCATGCCCATTCAAAGACTCTCAGCAAAAGATGTCTTGATTTCCATAGCTTAAATGTTTTGGCTCAAAATTACATAAATGTTCCCATGGATTTATTTAGTATGCTTGAAATTTTTTTTTTTTTTTGGTGCTGGTCCTGAAGCTTGAACTCAGGGCTTAGGTGCTGTCCCTGAACTTCTTTTGCTCAGGGCTAGCACTCTACCACTTGAACCACAGTACCACTTCTGGCTTTTTTTGTAGTTTATTGGAGAAAAGAGTTTCACAGACTTTCCTGCCTGGACTGGTTTCAAACTGTGATCCTTAGAGTTCAGCCTCCTGAGCAGCTAGGATTACAGACATGAGCTACCAGTGCCTGGCAACTTGAAACATTTAAAGAGAAAAAACTTGTTGGCATAAAAACCTGAGGTAGGAAGGTGGCTCAGTGGTAGAGTGGTTGCTTTGCATTCATAAGGTCCTGTGTTTGATTCCTCAGCACCACATAAGCAGAAAAAGCCAGAAGTGGTGCTATGGCTCAAGTAGTAGAGTGCTAGCCTTGAGCTGAAGAGCTGAGGAACAGCGCCCAGGCCCAGGGTTCAGGCCCCACAACCGACAAAAAAAAAAAAAAAAAAACCTGAGAAGGATAAATTGATCCAACCTTCACTCACTCTAGAGCTTTGTAAACAGTAGGTACATTTAATTATTTAGTATGTATGGGACTACTTTGTCTACTCTGTCCTGTGCGAGGGACACAACAAGAACAAGATGGACATGGTCCTGTCATTATAGAGGTCATACTGTGACAGAGGCATTGGGACAAAGAACACAGTGTAGAATGGCTAAACAGTCTCAGGCTAGACGCAGGGAGCAATCAGAGGCTGATGTGATAAACACAGCCTGCGTTAGGACAGCGAGTGCTGTACTGGAAGAGAGGAAGACTAGAAAAATGCAGAAAAAGTAAAATCAACAGGACTATGCCATGAGGCAAGAGCAAAAGATGATCTGGAAACAGAATGGGATGATTTGGAGGAGGGTGGATGACTTGACTGCATGCATGTAGCTAGTCATGCTTGGAGAAGGCTCTCTAGAACAGAGTTAGATATACAGATGCATGCTCTGAGAGTTCAGAGATGGCTGAGCTATAAATTGGGAGCTGGAAAGCAACCAGAAACAAAAACCATAGGAGAAGATATATAGTTGTTCTGAGAGCAGAGAGCCCAAGACAGAACCTGAAGAACCAAGGAGACTCTGAAAGAGGAAGAAAACAGGGAGAAAACCAAAAGAGCTTCCTAACTGTTCAGGTGCCACTCTGAATCTCTTAGGTATCCTTAATCTTACAAACTGTAGGAAAGCTATAGAAACAAAAACATTTACAAACATCTTATAATATAGTCTTGCCCTAAATCAAAATCAATGGATGCTTAGAGTATACATTAAAATAATAAGGGAGTAAGTTAAGTATTATCAGATAATAAGGGGTATCCTTATCATCCAACCCCATAATTAGGATAACAGAGATATGAATAAAACTACACATCTATTACCAAATTTGCTCACATGTCAAAGCTTATGAAGTGCTTTGACACTATGTTACTGAATTCTTATAGAAGAACCATAATATAGGTAAGAGGATTGTTCATGTTCAGAGAGGTAGTTTCCTAATATCTCAGTCAAGATATTGACAGAGTTCTTTCCATTGCACACAATGCTCTCCTGCAGTTTAACATCAGGTAAGGAATTTGCTGTCCTCTAATTTTGAACATAAACAGGAAGTGTGTGTGTGTGAAAGAGTCAGAGACAGACAGAGACAGACAGAGAGAGAAAGAGAAGAGAGAGAGAGGGGGAGAGAGGGAGGTGGGGAATCAAACCAAGAGCCTACACACCTTAACCTACCTTGTTACTTTCATGTGCTGGTTATATAAAACCACCTTTCACACTATGTTAAAAAACCATATAATTTAGGCGGGGGGGGGGGGGGGGCGTTGGGTGTGTGTGTATAGTTGTGGAGGTACCTGAGGGAAGGGATGGTAGGGGAAAAACAAAGGAGGAGGCAACAATGCTTGATAAGAAATGTATTCATTACCTTGCTCATGTACAGTAGTTTCACAATAAAAAACTTATTTAAAAAAAAACCACCTTTCCCAATGGCAGCTCAAGTGTAAGAAGCAGAGGACTCACCTAATCTACTCCGTCTAATTTCCTCTGGTGAGACAGGCCGCAACTTTCTTTCTGCTTTAATTTCTTCTAATATTCTTTCATGGAGGCTTCGTGGCCGTGGTGGGGTTGGCTTCAGTTTTCTGGCTGAGGCCTTGGGAAAAAAAAGAGCATAATGGTGAGAGACTTGAGTATTTGTTTCTAAATAAATTTTAAGGAAATTTATCACACAGTATAATATTATGAATTATATCTCATTGACTGTAAAACCGCCTATAGAAGACTATGTTCAAGTCATTAAGCATCAAGATTTCTACAGCATTAAGGATATTTTGGGGTTTCATGTGATTTATTTAGTCATATGTATATTCAATAATTGAAGTTCTGCTAAAGTTATAATCACATTTTTGAGTAACTTTCCCAGCCTTCTAATAACTACAATTTTCTCCATTCTATGGTTGGGGACAGAAAGGCTGGGGGAAGCCAGCTGGCTCAGAGGTGTGGCTGCTAGACTGTGGCACTGGTGTGCATACCAGGTCCACTTGACCCTGTTCTCCGCTCTGCGGCTTCTTGTCCTTCCACAAAGATTTCTACAAGGGATCATTCATTATGCTGGAGATGTATGCAAACTGGGAGACACCATTTCCTCTTATTTTATGTCACAAGCTTAGAAGTTGAGCCAGGGGGAAAAGAAAGAAAATAAAAGGAACATAAACCAACATTCCAACCACATTAGTGTATTCTGACTTTAATCTCTAGGAAGAAACTTGCTAGGAATGGAAGATATAGTTTCAGCAGAGGTTGACACTAAAAATAATGTCAATGTGACACTACCAAGGAGGGAGAGTAGCACTATAAAGTATTGGAAGGGCAACTCATACCTGAAACTATCAAGTATTTAGTTAGTTGCTATTCAGCAAGATTCTGCACCATGACTCAGATTGTTTATAGAGTAAAAACATTCTGGGACATAGCTATGTATCGAACAACTGAAAGAAAGTTTTTGTGTGTGTGATGTAATTTTCAGTAGAGCATGGTGGTATATGCCTGTAATCCCAGATCTTGAGAGGCTAAAGAAGCAGGATGGTGAGGTCAAGGCCACATGGGATACATAGTGAGTTCCAGACCAACCTCTGCTTTCCAAAAAAAAAAAGAATGCACTGTAACTTGTAGTTGCATTTCATCATATCATTCTCAGAAAAAAAAATCGGTGGAAAAAGTAACCATTTAAAAAGCCAAGTTTTGAAACAGTCCCTAGAGGAGAAGAATTCATTAAGCTTTCACCAAAGAAGGGCTGTCAGAGGGTCAGACTACATACTGGATTTAAAGGAGGTCTTGATCTGATAAAGTCAAGGATGATTTCATGAGCACTCTTTTTTAACCGAGGGGGAATGTCACCATTCACCTAAAAGGAGACAAAAAGTAGAAAACCATGTGACTACAGATCTATCATTTTAGGCTTTCTAGTACCGTTGTTATCTTAAATAGATCACAAAGTCAGTGAAGTATGATGCAGCCTACCAAGGACACATTTCAAGTCGACAGAGTAGAAAATAAATGATTGTGTGAATTAGAGCAAAGTAACTATGAAATTAAAGAAAAACCCAAGTCATACTAATTCTATCATGTTAGAAAATTACGTTTGAGATACATGAAGATTAACAAAAAGTTTCTGAAATCAGAATGTGAACAGAATAAATAACACTGTGGTTTACTGAGAATTTTATAATTTAAAAACCCTTTCACCTCTTATTTGCATCATTGAGGAAAAGCCTTATATCAAACAGGCCAGGAAGGCCTGGTAACACAACTTACATTCTGTTAAGTAAATTCAAGTACAGAAACAAGATTTGCTTATATACACAGAACTGCCAAATGAAAGATATATAATCCCAACTTCCCTGTGACCTCTACTCTAATGTCTTCTTCCTAAAGTAGTATGTTAACTATTTTGAGAAATATAAGAAATCCTCAGAAAGATAACAGTTGAAACATACATTCTGAGTCTTCATAAGGCCAGTTGAGATCATTTCGTTCTATTTGTTTTCCAGTCTTGTTTGACCAAAGCAGAGACTGAATTGATATCCCTAGTCTTAGTCTCCCCACAACCCCTGTTCCTTGTATAAGCCTTGAGGAGTCTATCCAACAACCACTAGGCTCCTCCTCCCTGTACCCACCTCTAAGCCTGAATGAGGTAGAGTGACCTCTGTCAAGAGTGATTGCTGCTTGAGCCAAGCCATGCACAGGCTTCTGGGTGCCTGGTTTAAGAAGGACATTGGCACCAGGAACCCGTGGCTCATGCCTGTAATCCTAGCTACTCAAGAGGCTGAGATCTGAGGATCATAGTTCAAAGCCAGCCTGGGTAGTTAAGTCCATGAGACTCTTATCTTAATAAACCACTCAGAAAACCGGAAATGGCTCTGTGGCTCAAGTGGTAGAACACCGGCCTTGAGCTGAAGAGCTGAGGGACAGCACCCAGGCCCAGAGTTCAAGCCCCACCACCGACAAAAAACAAAAACAAAAAAAAACAAGGACACATTTCCACCTGGTTGGTGAAGATGTACAATTCTGACCACTTCTGTGTGCCTTAGGTTTCTTTCCTTTCAAATGAGAGTGACAGCACTTACCTCAGGGCTGCAGTGTATCCCAAATGGGATTTTTTTTAAAAGCATTAGAAATCAAATGTAAGATGTATGCTTATTCACAGATGCTAACTCTATAGTTCACCAATCACTGCAGACTTGTAGAACATGTGGACTTCAATGACATACTCATGCTGAAGCCTGATCCAGCCGTTTTCTTTCTTGTTACTGCACATAGATTGAAGATTAACCTTTCTAAGGTGATCCTTGGGCTGTACTTCATGTGTTTTCAGGGCACTTGTCTTCTGAGACACAAGTTCCTCACTTAAATACAGCATTAGAAGTGCTTGGCAGAGACAAATGGGGCCCTCCCTCCTCTGTCCAGAGCACAGATGGCTGTGACAAGGACAGAGCCAGAAGCTCACATCAGCCATACTCCAGGAGAAGGTGCAGGGCTCTGCCAGACATGGGGCAGCACCTCCCTCATTTCTTACGGAAACAGTCTACCTGGAGATGGTGGAGGTGGCTAGGTCAGGCAGTATGTGAGGTATCAGTGCAGAGAAGCAGTCAGATTCAGGATACATGTTTTGGTTGTTGTTCTAGTATTTTGTCTCGAACTCAGAGACTTTGCTCTCGCTTTTTTTTTTCTTTTCTCAAGGCTGGCACTCTACAGCCACATGTCCACTTCTTACTTTTTGGTGGTAAATTTAGAGATAAGAATCTCTCAAATTTGTGTGAATCCTCAGATCTCAGCCTCCTGAGTAGCTAGGATCATAGGTGTGAGCCACCAGCACCCAGCTAGATTCAGCATACATTTTAATGACAGAATTTCAGGATTCACTGATGAGGTGGATGTTCCACTTTCCAGAACTTACTAAGGACTTCATTGTGGCTATCCACAAAATTTTATGTGCTAGGAAACAGAAAATAGGTTGCTTAAATAGACTCTGGTATGATAGTCATAGTTAGAAAAGGTGGTTACTTAGAAATGATATTGTTCTTAGTCATTAGGGGAAAAATCCCCACATTGAGATTCCATCTCATCCCAGAATGGAATGGCTATCATCAAGAAAATAAACAACAAATGCTGGGGAGGGTAGGTAGGGGGTGGGTGGGGAAAGAAATCTTCATACAATGTGGATAGGAATATATGTCAGCATAGTCACTATGAAAATCAGTATGGTGGTTCCTCAAAAAAATAAAAATAGAACTACCATATGATCCTGCTCTACCACTCCTGGGAATATACAGACTCAAATCTGAATCAACATACAATAGAGGCACCTCACACCCATGTTTATTGAAGCATGTTCACAACAGCTAAATTATGGAACCAGTCTACGGTGTCCAACAACAATGTGGTATATTTACATAATGGAGTTTTACTTAACTCTGAAGAATAAAATTATGTCATTTTCAGGAAAATGGGTGGAATTCGTGATCATCATGTCAATAAGCAAAATAAGTCAAACTTACAGTGCAAAAAAAGAAAGAAAACACTAATAGTGCATGTTTAAAAATCGTAAAAAGTAGAAGGGGACGATGTGGGAAGAGGAAAGGGACTGGTGGTGAAGGACAGAGAGGATTAACAGGACAGGTGAACATGGTCAAAGTAGATTATATATGAAAATGACATGATGAAACTCATTACTTTGTAAATGTTTGTGGAGAAAATGATGCCAAGCAATGATAATGCTGCATATAATGATGTGGGAAAAATATTGACAATATGTTAAACAAAAACAACTGGATACAAAGCTAGCCCATTTTGTTTCAACCCAATGCACAAAGCAAAAAACAGGATTATAAACCAACATGTTGGTGAGATTACATATTTGAAACTTTTTTCTTTGAGTTTTGTATTTTTCAAATTTTCTACAATGATTATTATTTTCATAGGAAAAAATCACCGGGAAGACCATTTTCTGCAAGTAATATTACAGAAGGACCATGAGCATATTAATTTTCTTTGTTTCTTACCATCACTTTCCGCAAGGTGTATCTTTTGCACCGAATGTCATCCATTAGCATTTCATAGGGTGTGAGCTGGTATTCAATGGGCAGTGGGTTGTACTGCCGCTGTTGGACCTTCTTCAGCTTTACTCCATTTCGCAAATCTCTCATCACCTGCACCCAGAATCGGGCCTAAAAAGACCAAGGGTGAAGAGATAGCAGTAAGTAAATTCATTCATTTCTTCTGAACAGCTATAGTCATCAAAATAAAGAGCATGAATGTGTAAGCCAAACAAAACCTTCTTTAAAAATTACATTAGGATGGGAAAAGCTAGGTAGAAAGTCAAGAATCCATGGGCTCTAAAAGCTGAAGGGTCTGGGTTTAAAGCCCATCTCCAACACTGTGTCTGGTTGCATTAAGACACATCTCCCTATGCTTCTGCCTTGCTTTGTGACTGGACTTGCAACAGGGTCTATTTCTCACAGCCTGACTTTGGGTTTGGCTATATAATTTGCTTGGACACTGGATCAGGAGTGGGCATGATGAGATCAAAGATTTTAAAAGGACATGGATGCCAGGCTTGTCTGTCATGTTTCTTTCTGCTGAGAGAACATCAAGCTTGGATTGGCCTTGCTTCCAGGGCAAGACTGCCATACCTGTGGAGTTAAACGACTCCAACTGCTCGCAGACCTGTGATGTAGGTTTACCTAGCGCTGTCTCTGTGACTGCCTAGTGGTTAGTTTCACAGCATCACTGTGACCACAGCTGCCTGATATAATTACCTACTTGCTTTTTGACTAGCCCTAGTTTCCTCATCAATAAAGGAAAATGGTACTTCATAACTAATCAGGAAGGTCATAGTTGGATCAATACATAAGGCTCAAATGACAATTCTCGTTATCTTTATATATATATCATTTAATCACAGTTTTTTATTTATAAATAACAAGTTGCCTAATTAACCTTCGAGAATCCTAAGAATAAAATGAGACTTACATGAAAGTGCTTGATATAACAATGTTTTTGTTTGATTGATAGAGAATAAAAAAGAAAATAGCTTTGAAAAGTGAGTGGAATTTTCTGAATAAAATATTATAGCCTATTACTACTTCTTCACCAGAAAAAATGATCATTCTTAATGTCTTAATGTAAGTACAGTATGTTAATCTAGAGAAAAAAAGTGCTTGATATAACATATGACAAGTATGTATACTCTTGTTTTATCCCTTTTGTTCTCCTGACTAGTAACATTAGTTCATCATTCTTTCTGTCTGTGAGAAGTCAGTCGATACAATATTTGATTAAAATGCTGTAGCTCATCCAAATTAATGATCTCAATACCTACCTAAATGTAGTCTTATAAAATCAATTTCTTAAGAATTGTCTACATTGAATGAGGTAGAGGCATAGCTCAGTGGTAGAGCAACGTAAGTGTGTACTATGGTTGAACTCAAGGCCTATTATAGTGAGTGTTCTACCATCTGACTCATACTGCAAGACCTTTGCCTTTAGTTATTTTTTTTTTCAGATAGGGGCCTATGTTTTACCAGGCCTTGAACCCTGATTCTCCTACCTATGCCTCCCATGTAACTGGGCTTATAGGCATCCACCACTATGCCCATCTTATTTGGTGAGGTAGGATCTAACTTTTTCTAACCAGGTTCGCTTTGAACCACAACCTTCCTAATCCTCACCTCCTGAGTAGCTGGTATGACAAGTGTGAGCCACTGTCCCCAGCCTAAGATATTAATAGGTTAATTAAAAATATCATGCCAGGTGCTGGTGGCTCATGCCTATAATCCTAGCTACTCAGGAGGCTGACATCTGAGGATCACGGTTCAAAGCCAGCCTGGGCGGGAAAATCCTTAAGACTCATAAAATAAACCACTCAGAAAACCAGATGTGGCTCTGTGGCTCAAAGTGGTAGAGTGCTAGCCTTGAACTGAAGAGCTGAGGGACAGTGCCCAGGCCCAGAGTTCAAGCCACATGACTGAAAAAAACAAAACAAAACAAGAAATATCAATATATATTTGTATGCTAGTACTAAAGCTTGAACTCAGGGCCTGGGTGCTATTCTTTAGTTTTATTGCTCAAAGCTAGCACTCTTGTCACTTGAACCATAGCTCCGCCTCTGGCTTTCTGTTGGTTAATGGGAGATAAGAGTTTAATGGAGTTTCCTACCCAAGTTAGCTTCAACCCATGATCCTCAGATCTCAGCCTCCTGAGTAGTTAGGATTACAGGTGTGAGCCACCTTTATATGTATACATATAAATCTATCTATCTATCTATCGTCAGTACTGAGGTTTGAACTCAGAACTTTGGTTTTGCTGGGCAAGTGTTCTACCATTGAACCACATTGTCTAGCCCTGACAACTGGTTTGTAAGAGCATTACGGTACCCTGACATGAAGCAGGTGAAGAAGTATACAACCCTTACCCAATCGGCATGCTGTAGTTCCTCCAAGTCTGTGCCACATTCATCACTCTTCTCCATTTCTTGAATCTTTTTAAGATTCTGCCAGTTAAAACAGAAAGAAAATAGCCATGAAAATTCCATTAAGTTATATCCAAATTAAAACGCCTCAAAGACAGGCTCAGATAAAATACACATAGAAGTAGCATCAATGAAAAGATAATACAGAATGCATTCTTCCTCCAAGTCTAAAATCCATTAAAATGTTTCATTTTGTTGCGTGCGGGTGATGGGGAGATGGTCCACTGTCTTCTTGTGAAGCATCTAATCACAGCATTAACTCAGCTTCTAATGCTACAGGAGCTGAAGATTGTTTCTTCTCCCTCAACTTGAAACACACTCAATCTGATACTGTTATGGATATTTTTGTTGCACCTTTTTTAAACTTAAGGTGTCTTTATCTCCCTTACATCAACCACATTTGTCCTGGACTCTCTCCTCATCCCATAGTCACTCTCTACTCTCTACTTCCCTTCCTGCAGATATCAGGACCAGAGAACTATCCAGTTCCTCAAAGAACCCTCCCTTTATAACCTTCTATTACAAAATTTCCTCACCTCCCCACAGCCACTAACATGGGAACTGCACACTGACTTGGGGCCTCCCTCAAGGCTTCATGAGGCCAAATTCCATCTTCTGAAGCTAGTGCAAGCTTTGGCAAGTTCTGGCCCTTGATATATACATATATATGCATATATGTATGCATATATATGTATATATATTTATATGCATATTTAAAATTTTCAATGGATTAATACATTTTAAATTGCATCAACCCAACAACTGCAACTTTAGCAAAATCTTGATGGATAAAGCATGTATTCACATATTAAATATATTTTATTGTACATCATTCCTGCTAATATAAATTCAACCCCAATATATTTTACTTTTTGCTGAGCTGTTTCCAGCCTGCTTGCCTTTAGTTTAAATGTACTATATGAAACCTAACTTCTTATGAGAATATAAATGAAACATTTCTAAACCATTTATTTTTAGCTTCCAAATGTTATCAGCCATCTGCAAAAATGAGTACAACACCACCTACTTTTTTCTATGCAATCATATAGTGTTTCTATAAAAAATAAAATGACATTATTCTGACAATTTAAAGAACATGCTGTGTAAATAATGCAGCATTTCTTCTATCCATAGGGAAAAAAACAAGGAAAAGGTTTCTGGTTATTTCAGGATGTACTTTCATAATTATTTTGAAAGGAGAAGTCAACACTACTGAAACATGGTAAATTATACAGGATTTTAGACATTCACACATAGTGAAACCAAAGAAGGAAATTCTCAGGAGAGGAACACAAAGGTACAATGCCTAGATACATCTGATCATATAAAATAATATTCATCAAAATGAACTCCAGGAAATGGAAACAAGAGGTTTTTCCTTTGTTGCTTTTTTTTTCTTTTTAAAAAAATGTTTTATTTTATTGTAAGGGTAATGTCAGAGGGATCACAGTTATGTAACTAAGGTAAGGAGTACATTTCTTGTCAAACCTTGTTACCTCCTCCCTTGTTTTTTCCCACTTTCCCTCTCCTCTTACTCCCTTTCCCCCAAGTTATAAAGTTCATTTCCAACATAATGTCTTGTAAGTATTGCTGTTGCATTGGTTCACCCTTTGTCCTCTGTCTCATCATTTTGTTTTGTGTGAGCGTGTGCGTGCATGTGCGTGCGTGCGTGTGCGTGCATGTTGTGTGTGTGTGTGTGAGATATTCTGGGCAAAATATAATATATGCACATCTAAATTACCATAGTGAAATCCCTTAGTGGACTTAATATGCACTAGAGAAAGAAAGAGAAAGAAAAGAGAGAATGACAGGGCCTGGGCACTGTCCCTGAGCCTCTCTGTGCTGAAGGCTAGTGCTCTGCCACTTAAGTCACAGCGCTACTTCTGGCTTTTTCTGTTTATGTGGTACTAAGGAATCAAACCCAAGGCTTCATGCATACAAGGCAAGCACTTTACCATTAAGCCACTTTCCCACCCCGTCTCACCATTTTGTTATTCCTTTTCTCTTCCCCAAATCAGATAAACATATATATAAGACATAGGGTACAAAAATAAAAAACAGTGACAACAGGGGATAAACCAAAGGGAAAAAATGAAAGAAAAAAGAAATTACTTCACACAGTACCTTAAAAAACAAAAACAAAGAAACAAAAAAACACTCTTCTTTCCAAATCTTGGAGTTCATTTCAATTAGCATCATTGTATATGATCATATGTACATAGCTATTGAGCTATTCTGATCCTTTGTGTATCTGTCTTTGGGAGGATAAGGGAGGCATAGAAATGGAGGGACAAAGGTGAACAAATGCAGCAGTAGACACTATGTTGAAAATGAACTATACGACTTGTGGGTAGGGACCTGAGGAAAAACCAGGAGAGAGCAAGGGAAGGGGTGATGCTGTCCAAAAAGAAATGGGACTCATTACACCACATTGCTGTAATATCTCTGTGTATAACTTTAAGAATAACAGTTAAAACATTAAAAAAAAAAAGTTTCTCTGTGAGATGATGTGGTAAGATATTTGCCCTCCTCTCTGTCATATGAAGACTGATCCCATGGTAAGCACTTAATAACTCATAAACCAAAAGATAATGCAACTTAGGAGGCAGGGACAGGAGGATGTCAAAGTTGAGGCCAGGCTGGGCTACACAGTAAGATCCTGTCTCAAAATAAACTGAAAACAACCTGAAAAACAATCTGAAAGCAACCTTAATCTCTGTAAGCCTATGTTGTAATATACTAAAAGAAGAAGAAGAAGAAAAAAACCTCTAATGGTCTTCAGAATGGGACCAAGTTTTAGGATGAGAAGAGAAGGAAAAACAAAGGAAACAGATACAGCAGATAATGGGAGAAATCTGGCCAGAAAGAAGATTATAACATGCCTCTCCAGTTTCTTCCCCATTTGGTCCATTTCTCACTCTTCTTCCTTATGGCTCTCAAACTGAGAGCCATGGCCAACCAGTGCAAAGATATGTCAAGGAGCATTTAAACAATAGGTACACATTGCATGTTTCTTAGAGTCAGTTTAAAGACAAAGCAGTGGAGCTGAGTACCTATGGCTCACAGCTATAATCCTCACTGTTCAAATGGCTGGGATCTGAGGATCATGGGTCAAAACCAGCCTGGTCAGGAAAAGTATCTGTAACTCTTATTTCCAATTAACTACTCAAAAGCTGGAAGTGGAGCTGTAGCTTAACTGGTAGAGTGGCAGTCTTGATGCCTAGGGACAGCATCTAGGTGCTGAGTTCAAGCCGCCTCAGTACTGGAGCGCACACACACACACACACATACACACACAACCAATGCACACACACACACCAATGCGCACACGCACACACACACACACACACACACACCAACAACAGAAGCCTTAGTGGCCTGCACTAGTTGCCAGAGAGGTCTGCCAAATGGTCACTGCTTGATCTTTTAGCTCCCTCAGCAAAGAGCTGTAAGCCAGGGTTGTAGCCCTCCTACAAGCCTCAGTCACTTCAAGTCAGAGCCCCTTGCTTCATTTTAGGATTTCTCTGGTCCTCCGCTTCTCCTCAATCCTGCTTCCTGGGCCCCATGGTGCTACTGATAGCATTCTTCCATACTCCTAAGTTTTTTTCTACTTCCTGGGGTAACTCAATTCACACCATGAGGAATTTTATTTTATTTTATTTATTTATTTATTTTTGTCGGTCGTGGGGCTTGAACTCTGGGGCTGGGCGCTGTCCCTCAGCTCTTCAGCTCAAGGCGAGCGCTCTACCATTTGAGCAACAGCGCCACTTCCGGTTTTCTGGTGGTTTATTGGAGATAGGAGTCTCACGGTCTCTCCTGCCCGGGCTGGCTTTGAACCGCGATCCTCAGATCTCAGCCTCCTGAGTAGCTAGGATTACAGGCGTGAGCCACCAGCGCCCGGCTACCATGAGGAATTTTAAAAAACATCATTTTTTGTTTTGTTTTTTAAGTTAAAAAAGTTTTTTTAAAAACATCCATTTTAAAAAACAGAAATATAGAGGTATGTTAGTAAAAAATCAACGTGACTTTTAAGAGGTAAAAGTCACAAATTCCAAGGCATCTTGATTTACACTGGACTACATATCCCTCACAGGGTCAGTGTGAAAATCCTCCCTTCTCCTCCCTTTGATACAGATTGTTCAAAACAGGTGCTGGTGGCTCACACCTGTAATCCTCGCTACTCAGGAAGCTGAGATCTGAAGATCTCAGTTCAAAGCTAGCCCAGACAGAAAAGTCCAAGAGACTCTTTATCTCCAATGAACCACCAAGAAGCCAGAAGTGGAGGCATGTGGTAGAGTGCTAACCTTGAATGGAAAAAGCCACAGGACAGTGGCCAAGCCCCAAGTTCAAGCCCAGTAGTGATGGGAAAAAAAAGGGGAGACCCTCATTCTTTTGGGATACATCTCATGCAGTTTGAGTAGAGTTAACATGCAGGATTTCCAACTCACAAGAGTAAGACCAGCCAGGGTAGTCCATCTCCCCAGTTCCTGTGATGCACTGTGATTAGTTCCCAAGTTGGTTATTTCCAAACTTCCATGACCTGTTTGCCTTTCTGCTGGAGTTGCTGAACTGAGAGGTCAAAGATTAGGGCTGTGGACTGCACTAGGAACCTGTCTGTCCTGGGAAGTGGGTAGGAGAGCCTGTTCTAATTACAGCTGAGTCTACAGCTTGATGTCCCCACAGACTTCCCAATTATGTGAACCAATAAATTCTCCTCCCCTCCCCATGCTAACGGAAGTCAGAATTACAGATAAAAGTCAGAAGTTAGTATATTGCCCAAGCCTAGCACTATGAGTTTATGCTTCCATGTCACATAGTCCTTTGGTGGCATCACAGGAGAAGCAGCAATTCAATTCAAGCTACGGCTAAAAAGCTTGCCGAAGTGGGAGAGAGTGAAGGAAGGGGTGATGTACTCATTACCAGACTTATAAAACAGCCCTTCTATAATCACCTTTATAACAACAATTAAAAAAAAGAAAAAATAACAGCAATGAAAAAAGCCTACTGCTTCATGGACCCTA